CATCTGCCCCAGTCAGCAACTGCTGTTTACCGTGTCTTGCAAACGGCATCGTTCACCACTGTCTACCCCACTGGCCAAAGCAGCACCCTTACTGCAGCCTCCTGTCTCTCTCTCACCCCGCCTCTCCTGGGATTTGTGCACTTCTCTCACCTCCACGGCCACTTCCCCCGCTCAGATCATGCTCTCTTGCCTCCATTATTTCAGCAGCTTCCAACTGGTCTCTGTCCTCTAGTCTTGCCCCTCTAATGCAATCTCTATGCTGTAGTCATAATGCTCTTTCTTTTTTTGTCATTACAATTTTTTTTAAAATTTTGATAAAGTTACATAACACGAAAGTTACCGTCTTAACCATTTTAAAGTATGTACTAGTTCGGTAGTGTTAAATACATTCGCATTGTTGTGCAACGGCTCTCCAGAGCTCTTTTCATCGTGCAAAACTGAAACTCTTTACTCATTAAACAACTTCCCATTCCCTCCTCCCCTCAGCCCTGGCAACCATCATTCTACTTTCCGACTCTGTGAGTTTGGCTACATACCTTATACAAGTAGGCTCATATGTGTTTGTCTTTTTGTCACTGGTTTATTTCACTCAGCATAATGTCCTCACAGTAATCCATGTTGTAGCATGGGACAGGATTTCCTTCTTTTCGAAGGCTGAATGATATTACATTGTTTATGTAGATACCACATTTTGTTTATCCATTCATCCAGTCATGTCATTCATCTGCTAAAAGCCTTTGATGGTTACCCACTGCTGCTGGGGTAAAATGCCAGCTCCTCAGTGAGTCTGACCAAGGCCCCACCTGCTGCTTCTGCCTCATCCCTCCTACTCTTCATCGTGTGTTCTTTCTTGTTCCTCTCTGGCCATTCTTTCAGGCGATTTCTCCACCTGGGTCACTTCCCAGGACTTGTCCCCTTGTTAGTCTGGGTCCTCTGAGAAGCCAGCTAGGCAGAGGCTAAACAGTGTGAAGATTTTATTAAGGTAAATGCCTGTGATAGAAAATAGGGAGGGAACCTGGTCAGGCTGAGAGCAGCCTGATCTGGGCAAGGC